TGACAAATGGGGGAGAAGACGAGTTGTCCGAATTGAATGATCATCTCGGACGGAATGTCGGTGAGATGGAGTGTTCTATTCTTGTTTGAGTTATCCTGTAAAGGCTTCTATCTGGTATACAGAGTGCATTCGGTGCTATACATTGCTGCCATTTCTCAGGAATATACGGCTATACTAGGTAGAAAATCAACCGGTCCATGAATATCATCCAAAACTATTCCATGATCTCACTTTCTCACTTCACCATCCTTCTATCAAATTTCTATTATTTATCATCACCTGCATATTCTATTACATGTTTCCTCCTCCATACCCTAGAGAATTCCCTCCAAAAGTGGACCCCTCTGACTTCTCTCTCAACACTGCCCCTCGAACCAGTCAACAAGTACGAAGTCCCAGTAGTAGCAATAGTAGTCTAACCCTACCAACCAATTTCTCGTATAGCAAGCAATCCAGTTGTTCCGATGACTGTGCCGTATTATTGACAGTCTTAAGTTGAGTTTGTTAATTAAGTGGATGATTGGATTGGGCTGAGTTGAATCCACACTGTCTGCCTGCCTGCCTGCCTCTGCATGCATTGCATGACGCCAACAAGGCAAACATTTATGCTGCTCTCTCCCTCTTTTTCTCCCTGCTGAAAAGTGATCTAGTTGAGAAGAGAAAAAAGAAAGGAAAGAGGGTTCATGCAACTAAATCCTGTTGGGTGATTCTGCCATGCCTTTAGTTGTCCGTGGTTTGCTTTTGGTCCGGTATGAAATGGGGAGATTATACTAGAGATTTAGTTTTTTGTCTGGGTACGAGTTATATACTTGAGATCGTATTCTCTATTATTATCAAGTTTATTAGCAGGGAGGAAGAAAAAGGAATAAAAAGCATAGCAAAAGGATGTAATAGGACATCGCAGACGCAGCTGACGTATATACACCCCAGTACTAGTATATTCAACCTCGACAGCGAACACCAGTCTAAAAGTAGATAAATATATACCCACCACCTACTCCGTAGATGTCGGTCAGCCCCAAAGAAAGAAATCCACCCGGACGAGACATAGAAAATACACCGATATATGGAGTATATCCATCTCGCATCGGAGTTTGTCTTAGAGTACTCTCGGTTAGTAGTGTTTATGCACTTTCCTTGACTATCCTGCGCGTAGGTCGTTGAGGATTTGCCCTAATGTATGTATATGAATCTGTATGTATATGTATGTGCATGCACATATACTCGTAAATGTACATGTACCGATAGGACGCGCTTGGGACTATGCGCTGCGATTGATCCTACCCACAATCAAACCGATCTAAACTGATCAAGAAGAAGAATATAATAATATAATATAATAAAATTGCATGATAATGATCGTAGAGAAATGAAGAAGAAATAAAAAGTAAATAAGAACCAAACATCCTCTGTGGCTGTGGCTAATGTGATGGGGATGTGATATGTCTTTTATTGACTTCGATGGACCTGCTCGCGGCCAATTAGGGACACTCTGATGACGGGGAGAATCTCGGTGATGGGCTGAGTTGCGCGGCTTTTATTTTATCTACTTTGTTTACTTTGTTCTGTTTTTCTGGTGTTGTCCTTGTGTTGTCTGTCCTCTAGGCTGGGTTGAGTGGTGGTTGGAGGGAGTTTTGATCGTTTCTATAGACTTTGTTATGTATGGATATGGTTGATAGTTGATAGTATTGGGTGAGACTTGAATAAAGAAGCATTACTGTACAATATAGTCAAGGTATCATTAACATCCACAACTGTTTGCTTCAACTACCTCTTTCTCGACGGCCGGGCATTTTTGTCCCTCCGCTGCTGCTGCATCTTCCGCGCTAATCGAATATCATCGGTCCCCTTCAGTTCGCTCTTCCCACCCGCAGCCGCACCGCCAGCCTTGCCCAGCTGTCGCTCCTTGGCCGCCTCGCCCCTCTTCTTCATCTTGTGGAAGTCCTCGCGCAGCGGATCCGCCCTCTTGGGCGCCTGATCCTTCTGGTGCCGGAACCGCCGTCCGCCCATCGAGTTGTTGTTGAAGTTCGCCGCAAGCCCCGGCGCCTCCGCCTCACCGACGCGAGGCATGCGCCCGATGCGCTTCCCGTGCCTCCACCGGTCGAACCGCCCGCTGCGGAAACTGGCCGCGATCTTCACGCCGCTCTCGCCGCGCACCAGTCGCGCGCCCTTGGATCCGTCCTCGTCGTTCTCCCGCGACACGTACTTCTTGTGTCGCTTGTCCCAGCGCTTCATCGTGCGCGGCTCCGCGAATCCGCGCCCGCCTTCGTCGCCCTGCAGATCCATCGTCGCGCCGCGCGACGCCTGCGTGAAGTTGACGTTTGCGCCCGAGTGCACACCGTAGCCCTTGTCCTCCGCCAGGTCGTTGTTGCTGGGCTTGTACGACATGAAATACTCCGGGTTCTGGAATGCAGCCGCCGAGTCCTGCTTGGACTTTTTGTTCTGGTTGTAGGACCCGAACGTGACCTCCAGGTCGGTCTCCGAGGCAAGCGACATGTTGTCGGCTGCGTCTGCGCCCGCGTCGTCGTCGTCGTCATCGTTTTCGTCCGAGAGCTCGCCGGCCGCGTCATCTTTGCCGGTGCCCGCACCCACGTGGCTGCCGTCCTCGAGGAACTCCGAGGGCTTGTTGTTCTTCGCCTGCGCTTTTTGCTTCTTCGCGTCGAGCGTGTTGCGCACCCGCTTGATCGTATCGGTGGCCTCGTCGCTCGCGTTCTTGCCGCTGCGTCGGTTGTTCACCTCGAAGACCGTCTCCTGCGGCCGGAACCCGCCGATCACGGCGAGCATCTTCTCCCGCTCCACCTCCATGTGGCTCGACTCGTCGTCGAAGAGGGGGTGCACGCTCGTCCAGTTGTCCGAGGATACAATCTGCTTGGCGCGCTTGGCGCTTTCCAGCGAGGCTGCGTTGCGCGTGCGCATGTACAGCTTCTCACCCTTGGTGGCGACCGAGCGCTGTAGCGCAATGTCGCCGTCTTCGTCCAGAACCTTGTTCACCCACTCGCAGGTCTGAGCCAGCGCGTCTCTTGGCATGCCGCCGACGACGACGTCTTCGCCGAAGTTGACGTTGTTGCCGTGCTCGCGACCCAGAACCAGTCTCCGTCCGAGGAACAGCTGTAGATCGAGAAGATACGGTGCGTCGGCGTCGCGGATCAGACTGTAACTCCAGCCCTTCTGGCCCGCTCGCGCCGTTCGGCCGACACGATGGATGAAGATCTTGGGCTGCGACGGGAAATCGTAGTTGATGACGTTGGCGAGAATGGGAATATCGATACCGCGGGCTGCGACGTCCGTGACCACTAGGATGTTCGAGATGCCCATTCGGAAATTCTGGACTTGGAACTTGCGCGCCGTCTGGTCCAAGGAGCCGTAGGCGTAGGATGTCGCGAACCCGGCTTCGCAGAGTAGGGCGTACAGATAGTCCACATGATGTTTCGTAGCGGCGAAGACGATCGTCGAGAATTTGGTCGGCGACTCCTTCGTATTCACGGATTTGTCCATTTCATTCCTCTTGCGCTTCTTGAAGTTCCTGGGCTCGTTGTACATCTCTTTCTTTCTCTCCGCGGCCTCGGTGGGGCCCGTGGGCATTTTGATCACCTCGTGGAGAATATACAGAAGCGCACCTTCTTTGTCGGCCGATTTGACAGTGAAGAAGGCGTTCTCGAGGTCGGGCGAGATCTTGCTCTCGGTATCGAGACGAATAAGTGTCGGATCTTGTAGACCGGCGCGAGCGAATTCAACGAGCGATTTCGGAAGCGTAGCGGAGAACAGCAGAGTCTGTCGATGGGACGGAAGGCCGTGCAAAATCTCCGTCAGCTGCTCGGCGAAACCCATTTCGAAGAGTCGATCAGCCTCGTCGAACACGACGTAGCGAATGCTGGACAAGTCCAGACCCATCTCCACCTTCAAGTGCAGGAATCGACCGGGCGTAGCGATGACAATGTCCGGGTTGCTGGCCATCATGCCGAACTGTTCCTCGAGACTGTCACCACCAACCAGGAGAACCGACTTCAGGTCCGTGCCTTTACCCAGCTCCTTGACGACCTTGAGCGTCTGCAGCGCCAGTTCACGCGACGGCGACATGATCAGACCGCGCGCACCGACAGTGCTGCTGTGGTTCCTCAGCTTCTGGATCATGGGGATCACAAAGGCCGCCGTCTTTCCGGATCCTGTGCGCGCCATGCCAACCACGTCCTGGTCGTCCATAATCACGGGGATCGTCTTGCGCTGAATGGGCGTCGGGACCGAGAAACCTTTCCGGGTGATCGCTTTGAGGAGGTGCGCGTTCAGGCCCATCGCCTGGAATCCACCACCCTTCTTGACCGTTCTTCCCTTGAGATTGGCTCCCTTGCGGTTCGCCGACGCCTGCTTTTCCGCGATAAAAGCTTCATCGTCGTCGGGGTCCGCTACATCGTTTACACCGCTGAGAAAATCCAGAGTCTGCGACGGAAGAGGAGCTCTCGCTACCTTCCTGGGTGCCTTGACACCGCTGTCGGAATCGCTGTCATGCTGAAAAAGCGCGCCGGTGATATCGAATTCATTCTCCGACGCTGTCGGAGAGGCAGCGCGACGAGGCATAATGACGGTCTGGTTGAGTTGACCGTCTGATGTTGTCTGTTCAGCGGAGACTACTTATCATTATCGATATTTTTTCTGGTCGGCAGAGAAAAATTCCCGGGCGGTGAGGGATCAAAGTTGCTCCGCCAGGCAGACAAACCAGGCAAACATCTCCCCCCGCGACGCGTCTTTGCCTCAACACGTCCCGAAGCGGTAAAATGACTGAGCTCAGTGATTGCTTCTACCTGGTAATCTTCAATCTTTTGAGCTCTACTTGAAACTCAATACTTTCGCAATCAAAATGGGTACGCACATTCTCCTTAATATCACACCCCACATTGCACTGTCCATCCTACGGATTTGCTAATACTCCCCCAGACGGTGGATATAACAGTGGCTATGGCGGTTCCTCCTTCGGGGGAGGAGGAGGAGGAGGTGGCGGCGGCTTCATGCCTGGCGAGATGAGCGCCAGCCCAGCAGGAGGAAAGGTAAGCCATCACTACCACAGCCCAACAAACCCCAGAATATCCAGGCTAACCAGGATGCCGAGCACAGGGCGAAATGAACAACAACACCCTCCGCCCCGTCACAGTCAAGCAAATCCTCGACGCCTCGCAGCCCTTCCCCGAAGCCTCCTTCCAGATCGACGGCGCCGACACCTCCAGCATCGTCTTCATCGGCCAAGTCCGCAACATCAGCTCGCAGACCACAAACGTAACCTACAAGATCGACGACGGCACAGGCGAGATCGAAGCAAAGCAGTGGATCGACTCCGCTACAGCCGACACAATGGACACCGACGACGGAAAGGGCCCCGGCGTGCCGGGAAAGGACCAGATCGAGCTGAACGGCTACGCGAAGGTCTTCGGCAAGCTCAAGACGTTCGGTAATAAGCGCTTTGTGGGCGCGCACTGTGTGCGTCCCGTTAAGAACATCAACGAGCTGCACTGTCATCTGCTCGAGGCTACGGCCGTGCATCTGTTTTTCACCCGTGGCCCGCCGGGTGGTGCCGCCGGTGCTGCTGCCGGGGCTGGTGGGATTGCGGGCGCGGTCGGCGATGCGTCGATGGGCGGCGCGGATGATTACAGTGCGGATCGGTCGCTTCCGGCTATGAGTCCCGTTGCGCGGAAGGTCTACTCGCTGCTGCGGACGGAGCCGCAGAGCAACGAGGGCTTACATTGTCAGTTGATTGCGTCCAAGCTGGGCCTTCCTCCGGCGGATGTGGCAAGGGCTGGGGAGGAGTTGCTTGGTACGGGTGTGATCTTCTCGACGGTTGATGAGCAGACGTGGGCTATTCTTCAATTGTAGGGTGTCTCTTTTGCTCGATGAGTTGTTTTCTTCCGTTTTTAGTAGAGTGCATGGGGATGGGTGAAAAGGATATTTAGCTCGTTTTTGTGCGCTTGTGATTAGAGCATATCCATATGATAATGATTATTACCAACTTAGTATCTACATGCTCGTATGACTAGTTCTAGGTTGAGTTTCATGAACTGTATATACGCACGAGTAAAGAAAAGACGGGATATCATTTCAACTTCTATGCAGAACTCTACCCAGCCATTGGTTCAAGACATATATGTAACATCGTGGCCACATTACAAAAGCACCGCTATATTAAAGAACATTTTCAAACTTTTGGAACTCTAGAATCAACCCCACACCAGCATGCAGACGGCGGGTCCACCATTATGACATTGCATTCCGGTGAAGTGCGTCCTCGACCGACCGCTCCCAGTCTGTACGCGCAAGGAACACGGCCTCGATAACAGACACGAGGAAGAGGGCGATCGCGACACCGGACCACAGACCGAACAGGTCCCATCCGAGGGCGAACGTCGTCCCGAAACTGATGGGCATCGCGATTGCGTAGTAGCAAAACAGCTGGACGTACCCTCCTATCTCTTGGCGTCCGATTCCGCGCAGGATACCGTTGCAGTTCGTTGCGAGGGCATCGAAGAGCTGGAATGCTGCGCACAGTGGCAGGGTCTGGGCAACGAGGACGATGACCTCTTCCTCGGAGGTGAATAGCCGGGGGATGTAGTCGCGGAGGCAGGAGAGGAGTAGCATGTTCAGCAGGCCGACGATCACGGCGCCTCCCATGGTTACCTTGGCGGATGTTTTGGCGGCCCCGACGAGCGTCGCTCCGATCAGGTTGGCGACGCGTGTGCTACCGGAGATTGAAAGGGGGAATGGGATTTGGAAGGTGATGCTCGAGATCGTGGACAGGATCGACTGCGCAGCGAGATGAGTCGTGCCGAGATAGGACGAGCCTAGAGTCAGGACTTCAAAGGCCAGGCATTCGGCCTCTACCATTATTAACCCAGGCAGAGCAAGCCGGATCATTGGGCCCCAGTTCCGCAGCGCCCTGGTCGTCACACCATTCCAACACTCTTTTCCATCTATGAAGTACACATAGAGGAATAGAAGCATCGGCATGATATTTTCGGTGATGGCAACCGCGATCGGAGCACCGACAAAACCCCAGCCAAATTGCTGCGAAAGAGACCTGGTCAGAAAACTGTAGTAAAAGGAAAGCCGGAACGCAACATACCCAAACAAACAACCAATTCATAAACGCATTGAGCGGCGCACAGATGAGAAGGACGTAGAGAGAGGCCGAAAAGAGGCCCTGCGCCTGGACGTAACGCTTCCCACTCTCGAAGCAAGCATATCCCGGCGCACCGAAGATGACGACTTTGAGGTACAGGCCCGCAAGAACGGCAACCTCTTTCTCCGGCACGATCATGAGAAGGACCCTGTCGGCGAAGTACCACAAGACCCCAATTGGGATGGTGATAACCCAGAGAAAATAAACCATCTTTTGCATTTGCAGGCCCACAAGCTTCCTTCGCCCCGACCCATACGCTTGTGCACACAGGGTGTCTAGACTAGTCGCCAAGCCTTGGTAGACTAACCGTGCATGTTAGTATCACCGTGGGGTATTGATCTGGGCTGCACTCTGTACACGTACCTGCATAGCCGGTGATGTTCGCCGTCATACTCGCCAAACTGACAGCCCCCAATTCCGCTTTCCCGAGATGACCCAGCGTGAAGATGCTAGCCACGGTCAAAGAGTACTGCAGCAGAAACGTAAGGACCAGCGGCGCGGCATTTCTACCAATGACCAGCGCCTCGCGCTTCCACGTCGTCTGAATCAATCCCGCAATCACCGCCTCTTCCCACTTGCGGTCGATCTCCTCCGGGTCTGCAACCTCATACTCCGACCCGCGTCTCCCACCTCCTAGCAGAGATGTAGTCTCCCCGGGAGCCTGCGCGCCAGACGTCCTGCGCGGCCATTTATCCTGTTTCAAAACACGATTATCACTCAAGAGGTTCCTCTCGTCCTCAATGGCTTGTTTACGCTCTCTCCGCGTCAATCGGTTTTCTAGATCCCGGTGATGCGGGACAACGGTCGAATGTCCGACGGTCGTGAAGAAGCTCGGGCGTTGGTAGGAGCCAGCCAGAGAGTGTGGGTTCGTTCCCGGTTGACTGCCCATGGCACGGATGGTCGAGGTCTCGGACGCTTCGTCGTCGGAAGTGAGAAGGGAGCCTTCATCGTCTGCGTAGCTTTCTAAGTCCCGAGCAATTGCAGCTTCCACGAGAGGCGAACTGGATATGCCGCGACCGTGAATACCATACTCGCCGGTCGGGCTGAGCGCGCGGCGGCCGTTCCCATCGCGGACCATGACGAGATGCGGTAGTTAGAGGGTGCGAAATGCGGCGATCTAGTAAATTACACGGATAAGAAGCTTATGGGCTAAACCCTGTCCACATCCTCACTGAAAGAGATGACGAATTGATCCTCAGCACTGCCAGCTGAACACAAAGCGAAAGCTCTTCAGGTGGGACGTAAGGAGCTGACAAGAAAGGGCGTGGCGGGAGGGAAGAGTCACAAAGAAGCGGAAGTGGTCGCAAGAGTCAGTCAGCTCAGTCACTAGCAGGAGCTAAGTGAGGAGCTAACAGATGGTGTAATCGCATTACCGAAAAAACGGCGGAATTTGTGGCAAGAAAAATGGACTTTCAATCAAAAAGTTGTTGACTCTTTCCATGGTCGGAGGATCCACCTTGTCTGCCACTCAGAACCAAGTGATCAGACAATACATTAGCTCTCGGGTATTAGGACCTATGCAGGCCCCTGGAGGGGCGTATCGGCTGGTTTCCTGTCTACCTCTGGGATTCGAATCAGTCATACAAAACCCTTATCACTTGCTTTTTCCCTCGAAGCTGCTCTCGGATCGCTCAACCATAAGAAGCATCGACGGAACACGAGCGAGTCCACAGCCCCGCATCCTTGACCGACCCGCTTGAACCAACCAGATTCGGCGCTTGGATTGTCCTATCGTAGTGGAGGTGCTGATCCTTAGAGAAGCGGCACAAACAACTTGAACCCGACGTTCGAAAGGTAGTATAAAAGACCAATGGGAGAAAGACAAGGATGGGAATGATTCCACAACCATGTCAATATCAAAATGTCAATAGTGAATCGAGGCATGCGGGTCACATGTCTGCTGGCAGATGACATCATGCCCGATGAGGACTAGGCCGTCACGTGGAATGTCATCGGATCTCCGATCGAAAGACGAACATGATCAATCCTTGAACTGCATCACAACTGACAACTCTTCATGATGGTCGCTGCGAGCGATATGCACACATCCATGATATGCTGACTGTAGATGGGCATTCTTTTTGCTCTGAATACCCTCCAAGACAGTCCACAGACTAGATCGTGCAATCATCATGGAGCACGGTACAGCAGGGGGGGAGCCAACCCTCCCCCGACCCCCATATAACCCTATCATAAACATGGCCAATTCCAACCCAGTCATAGTAGACGAGTGAGTCGCGCACCTGCCAGCCAATCGAACACACAGAATTATATCCTCCACGACACTCCATCCCCAACAGAAAGCTAATTCGAACCTCCCCGGACACTACTAGACACCTCCAACACAAACATCACATCTTCCTCTCCCGTCCCTACCTCGGCGCCCTCCTCGTCGAGAACTCCACCTCCGACGCACGCGACCACTGCGCGAACGAACGAACCTTTCTCTCCTGGCTCCGTCTCTCCATGTACCTCGGCGTCGTGTCCATAGCCATCATCATCTCCTTCCACTTCTACGGCGCCTCGACCAGTCTCGAGCGTCGCATGTCGCTGCCGCTGGGGATCATCTTCTGGGTCCTGAGTCTAGGGTGTCTGGTAAATGGGTTTGTGAACTACGTGCGGACGGTCAGGAAATATAGTCATAAAGCGGCGCTCGTGCAGAGTGGGTGGGTCACGGAGGTTATATTCACCGTGGTGGGCGCGGTTATCTTAGGGAGCTGTATCTTGTTCTTGGCTACTGATGCTAAGAGCAGTACGAATTCGGGTTAACATATAAATGTATGGACAGATCGTGAACTCTGGCTTTCTATTTTGACTCTACTTTGCAGCATCTATGAGAATCCTACTCTACATCCGTGCTGGGTCACGAAGGGCTAGTGACTATGGCGTCGATAATGATTCGCGAAATCTCAATTCAAGCATATATTAATATTGAAGCCTATTTGAAAAAGTATCAAGAAACATGGTATACTGGCCGGCTTGTGCATTGGTATCTCTAGTTGGGGTCAGGGACGCGCCATATGCCCCAATCTTGCATAATTATCTCACCGATATCCGAAGGGTGAGTCACGCTTTACATCCGACGAATCCCGGTCTCGCCCTTGTATTTGTCCAGAGAGGCGGTGCCCAGGTGGCTCCACCATTCGAACAGCATCGAATTGCAGATGAGCTTGAACCAGGGCGTGAACTTCAAGTCTGGCTTCGCAAACATCGCCTTCAGCTCGTCGGGAGAAACGTAGCAAGTGTCTCGGGCCTCGTTGGGGTTGACATCGACGTCAACGTCGGCTTCGATGAACAGGATATAGTCGACTGTAGCTTGTGAGTCCTTATTCTGAATTTGGGGCAGCACCTCTTGGTGAAGAAGGGACCTACTCTCATGCTCGCCCCATTTCCCATCACTCGGCGCCTTGTAGTGGATGCGGGTGAAGAACTCGAATTTCTCGATCGGCACCTGCTCGGGCTTGATCCCCAGCTCCTGCTCCAGCTTGCGCTGCGCGGCCCGCTTCACTCCCAGCACGGCAGCATCCAATTCGGAACCAGTCTCGCCGGGGATGCCCAGCGGGTGAGAACAGCAGGTATTCGTCCACATGTCGGGGAAGGTGATCTTCTCGGAGGCGCGCTGCTGGAGCAGCAGGCGCTTGTTCTTGTCGAAAAGGAAGCAGGAGAAGGCGCGGTGGAGGAGGCCCTTGTCGATGTTGGTCATCAGGTGGCCTACCAATAGTAAAGAAGGTGGTTAGCAACCATGGTCAGTCGATTATTTGGATATCCGAAAGGGGGAATCTGGGTAATATGTATGCGCCAAAAGCACATTAAAACGGGGGAGGTTTACATGTCTTCTTGCTGGCGCTCCCAATAGGCTTATCATCCTCATCCAGCACGATGCACACCTCCTCCATCAGACGGACCTGCTCCTCATCGTACCCCGCGAGGTCGGCGCTTTCCCGCTCAGCGGGGTTGCTGGCATTCGCCGTGGGGAGAACCTCGCGCGCCAGGGAGGTGTCGACGTCGGGGAAGAGGGTCGCGACATTCTCCGCCGTGATCCGCGGGGTAGCCGTCTGGGTAGCGGTGGAACTCATCTTGTCTGTTGCGAAAAATAAACTTGTCCGAGGGGGTGTTGGCGGGGTTGAATCCGATCGCTGGTATGCCAAAGGGGGCGAGTAATTTAGAGGGCGGTGAGAGTGGGTGCCTGGAGGGTCAGGATCCAACTGCCTTTTCAGGTGAACCGCGGGGAATCTTCCCTTTTATGCTTCTCTTTTATTCTTGACTGCTTACTCCCCTTGCAGCTATAATATTGATCAGCTGGTTTGGAGTGCAACAGTTTCTTTTTCTCTTTCGTTCTTCTTTCTTACTATTTTTGCATTCCTTTTCCCTTTCAGATCCGTTCATCCGCGGCTTCAAGGTATAGTTTTGATGCCGACTGCCGACTATATGCACATGACCTGGGTCCTTGAAACCTTTCCAGGCCCTCGATACTCTGGGGCATCGGAAGCAGAGGAGGTTGTACCAAATTCAGTCCGATAGAGATTTCCTTGAATGGTCACAGTGCACATGTAAGACTCGCAGTGTAACACGGCCCCTACTCCTTCGAGTTCAACCGAGCGAGGGATCCCCCAAACAACCGATGTAAAGTAATTCTACCTCCTAGAAGGATGATGACGAACCAACGGGCTCAGTGGTAGCCTGGTAGAATTTTTGCTTTCCATCGGCGATGAAAGTTAGGGTTAGATGGTGGACCTATCGACTGCTCCGGTGGATCCCTGCGTTCTGAGTAAATCACGCCGCAGCCACATCTGGCACTTGTACTTCAATCCAGGTCGAGTCGAGTAACACTTGAACACGTCAATTTCCACACTTAGACGCATTTACCCCGAAGGCTGTCCGTGGCGAATAATCAATGTCATCTGTCCATCATGTTGATCCCATTGGATGCTTTCCACAGGAGCAAATCCTCGGTATGGGAGGAACTGGCTTAGTCCGGGAAGGAAACCTTGCCATTAAGCTCCCCCTCAGATGGGGTTCAAGCAGCGACGACGAAGTGGAAGCAAACACCGAGTCTCTTCAGCATGAGCAGTCTATCTATCAGCGCCTAGGACAGTGCGCTGGGGTGGTGCCCTGTCTAGGTTTTACCAAAACCTCTATCCAACTCCAGCTCATGGAGAATGGAGATCTCCGTTCTTATCTGGGTCGGAATAAAGCCTCCAAGTCTCTTCAGCTCTGGTGGTTTCGCACAATGGCTCGTGCTCTTGCTCGGATCCATGATCGACGGGTTCTCGTGGTGGATATTGCCAGTCGGAACTTCCTGCTTGACTCGGACTTGTTGATCAGCTTTTGCGATTTTACCGAGTTTACCATTCTGCCGCTCGACACTTGCATGGAGACGGCCGATGACGGGGGATACTCAGTACAGACCGACATCGGACAGCTAGGAGCAGTGATGTACGAGGTGATTGTCGGGGACAAGTGCAAATTTGACATTTGGAAATCTGCTCCGCCAGATGCTACCCGTGGTGTGTGGCCACCAAGGGAAGACCTTCCCAGGACCAACGACATTTGGCTTGGCTCGATCATTGAGAAGTGCTGGACTCGGGGCTCATTTATTTCCGCCTACGACCTGTGCAACGAGCTGGAAGCTGTCGAACTTGACGATGAGCCTGCGGAACAATGCTGGACAGCTGATCGATTACTATCAAGGCTGTATAGCATTATTTCACCTCAGATGCATAGTCCTCAGAGTATTGCAATAGCACTGATGACATTCAGTGCAGTCACTGCTTATGCGTGGAGTCGAAGATACAAATGATCTGTGTTGATAGAATTAAGATCAGATGGCGATAGTAAATGAATACCCAAGATTTGTGCCTATTATGTACAGGACCTATTTTACTCGATTCATGGTCGTCATTGCAAGCATTTAACAAGCGATAGCTTGACTTGGAACTTTTGAATAAAGCAAACAGGAATTCCCACACGAGCTCTATTTTGACTTTTTATAGACTTGCAATTTCCATAGCTATAACATAGATTCGAATCATTGGTATCTAAACTTCTGTGTTAGTTTTCCCACATTTAAGCTCTCTGCTTTGCTCTGGATCGCCATGTTTGGACAGATTCACCTTATATTTATGACCTCCCTTTATCCTTTGACATTTGAATCCCAAGCTCTTTTCGGCAATATACTCGGTGAGATTAAAGAGAAAACCCAGCCCAACGTTTACAAATCTACAGTAGTAGTCCTGTTGAAATACAGTAGTATATAATAGTGATCCGGCCTTGAAGTCGTCTTTAAGTCTACTAAAGCATGACACGAGATTACGAGTTAACGACGGAGAAGAGTAGACCATGTACTGATTATGGTGGCGCATAAGCTGCACGTAACCCTAACCCGGCCAGTTTCGCTTTTACATAGTAGTACTTAGTAGTCTACGATACTGTACAGAATCTCCTTTTCTACCTTTGGGCCTTCTTCAACTTGCCATCTACCTTTCTAGATTACTTAGTGGGTCCGATACAAAGTAGCTAATATGGGGCAACTCGCGCATAAGGGACAGTATTCGGTATAATACTGAAGTGATCATGTAATAAAAGGGGACATTCCGCCTAGCAGATCATACCGTTATGCTTCCAAGTAATGACGATCCCTCTGAGTCATGACCCTGACTAGTACTTAGCACTAGGTAATAGCTGCAATCTCCTCTCAAAGTCTAGAATTGTTTGGGTTGAAACGCACTGTAGATCCTAGACGATGAGATGTAGTCAATCTCCCCATACCTTTAACCATGGGATAGTTAATATAGAAAGGCAATACTAAGTTACTACCAGGAATGTACCTAACAGTACTAGTATCCGTCAAACCTAGCCAATAAAAATGATAGGAAAGATTCGCTTGGACTAAAAACAGGGGAAAAGTATATTCAGGGACATTATTAGGTAGCAGTGGGTACCTCAATCAAACAATGAATTATCTCAATGTTAAATAAAGAAACTAAGACAACGACCTCCTGCCTAGCTAGTCGCTACCCTACAGGCACCTAACCTTGACCCAGGTAGTTAAGTATGAACAAGGTACGAGCTGTCGCGTGGATCGACCCGTCCATGCTCTTTCCACAGTTTAGCCCCGGAATTCCAAATTAAGGCTGTCCCACAGACAGTACCACAATTATTATGATAATTTTGGCCCCAGGCTCCAGCCCATATCATCCACTAGTAACTAACGGCTCGTTCCATTTCTCCCCGAGGCGGGCCTACCTACACTACTGAGTAGGTAGGTAGTAAACTAGCCTCCGTACCTCTTAATAAACGCCGTTACTCGAGTCAAGCACGGTCCATAAGGGGCAATAGCCATTCTATGGAAGCCTACGTTAGTACTGTGGATCGCCGACAAGCTCCGGCGGGAGAGGACTTCCGCCACTATTACCAGTCCGTACTGCCTATTAAGTTAGCATCTTAGCGTGGAGGCAGACTTCCTCTGGTCACTTTTTGGGGGGGAACGGTTTTAGTGGTTTTGCTTTTGGCATGGAATGTGGAATTTTCGTCGGTTGGAATTGGATTTGGGATTGTAATTGGGATGACGATCTTCATTATTCTTTCTTTGTTTCTTTTCATTGTTCTTATGAATGTGAGTATGAACGAAATTACTGACGTCCTTGTGGTTAAATCCGGTTTTCATGATGGGTGGAGCTTAGCTATCCTTTCCAGTTGGATCTATTGTTGCTGCTGGTTTAGAATTATTCCCCTTTTATGCTGAAGATCTGTCTAGTCCTAGGTAAGTAGTACTGCATGTTTTTGATTAGTAGGACATCAAATCATAATTATGACTAGTCGAGTCGCTTATTGCTGGTAGACTCAAATTCAGCGTCAAATGAACAATCGTTGAAACTTCTTCGGTAAACAGACAGAGTGCTAATGCTAAAAACGTAAAAATAGTAAGATGATTTCAATCAGAGAAACAAGGTGGATCAAATCTATGGTTGAACCAGACACCAGACGACCAACTCTCAGTATAGTAGCTCAGCTCCAACTCCTCATGCTCAGCTCAGCATAGGCCCGCCATGCATGCATATCACCCGCAGTCTATAGCCGGAATGCTATGCTATATCAAGTGATATTGCGACATATTGATATCGAGACAGAATAAATCAAGAAAAAAAGGAAAAAGCTAGAAAATAAGCGAGAAGAAAAAAGAGAGAGAAAAGAGATGAGAAAAGAAACAGCATCCACCGCAACAAACAAGCAAAAAGTCCACCCAATTGCTAACACTATGCGTCGTATGACCTTTATCGATAGGTAGATAGGTATATAGGTGATTGAATCGCTCGGCCGTTAATTCGTAGAAGCCACGCCATTCGCGATCAACGCGAAAATGGCCCGCTTCGAAATCGTATCTATAGTCGCCCTGTCCAGCGTATTCCAACGTGTCTAATCATGTTTCGACGAATGCTCCGGGGACTGCGATTGCTGGTCCCTGCTGCTTTTCTTCGCGCGGGTCGCTTTTCGGACGGATTGGTAGCAGCCGTCGGCGGAGTGTCTAGCACGTTACTTGTATTAGTATAGACACAATCTCGAGGGACAGTTCGTCCAGACTTACCGGTTCAGTATGTCCTGTCGCGTGAAACGTTGACCGCATTTCTCACAGCCGAATTTCCGTAATCCGAGATGAATCTGGTTCCCGTTCAGTGGGTAGTCCCCCGTGTATGAACTGCTGAACTTACACTATCGATGTGCCGGTTGAGGTCGGCCTTTCGCCCCAGCGTATTGCCGCAAAGATTGCAGATGAAGGTTCGCTTGCGGCTGGGATCGTGCTTCTTCATATGCTCCATGCAGTTGGAACGTCGCGTGAAGTGGTATCCGCACACCGTGCAGGTACAGCCGTCTGGCTTGGGCATCCCCTACGGGAGATCTTTAGCAATCTGGCCACAACAACTGCAGAACTTCGTGTATTACCTTCTTGTATGCGTTTGATGGTGAGGTCCTGCGAACCTCACTCACGAGACTGTCTTCGTGTGGATCCGACTTCACCACATTGGCATGGTACGCAGGCGGTGGGTAATAGCTGGGGGCGACGCTGTAGAGGTTTTGTTGCTTGTGCCACTGGTTGAATAATGAGTCTTCCACAGTCTCGTTAGTCTCCGCCACCGAGGGCAGATCGAACGTATCCTCAGGCTCTGTTTTCACTTCGACCCCGTCGTCGGCGAGGCCACCAGCAACAGGGACAGGGGTATTCGACCACGATCGAAACGCATGAGTCATTCCATCTGGATTCGACCCCATATCCACCATAGGACCGTAGCTGGATGAGACGCTCAGAGCCTGACTGCTGTAGTAGCTCATGGGGGAGGTCGAGTCGTCGGTGCGGTCAACGAACGGCTCATAGGTGGCTGGGGGTGACAGATGGCCGACGTGCATGGTGTTGTCGAAAAGGGGCCCGGGAACCATCGACTGGGTAGTCCAGCTGGCTGTTGTTGTTGCTGTTGGATACGCAAAGGCCTCGGGTGCGGTGTAGACGGACAAGTTGCTGACAGGAGTGTGCATCTCGCCGTGAGAGATGCCCAAGCCCACCAACGAGTGCGTATCGCATGGGTAACTCGACACTGCTGTGGTCGATGATGGGTAGGTTGCTGTGGCTCCTAGCACCATGTGGTCATCGGATGGTAAGGGGGCAAGAGAAGTGGGTGGATGAAACGAGGTCGGTTTACGGTCCATGTTGGTGGAACGGTGAGATAGCCCCCGGACAAGTAGATTGTACACAAAGGAGACGAAGCAGAACAGTAGACAAAGATTTTCCCAACGAAAGCGAGGATTGGCCAATGAGTGTATCAAAAGAAGTCCGTGCGAGTGTCCGGTTGGTTTTTCTGCGTAGAGTTGTCTGACTGGTTGTTTGGAATGGAATTCTCTTCCTCTTTCTCACGCTCTCACGCTCAAGGTCAAATGTGGTAAGACGAAAAAACTAGGGCTAACTTGCAAGAGCAGAGAGGCGTTATAAGGGGATCTATATAGGAATAAAACTACTCAACAGCTTGGCTGCAGGTTGAACGAAGTAGTGGCGAACATGAACAGAGGCTGAAAAAGAAAGCAACGGAATAAGCCATAGAATCATTGGAGGAAGGCGTCCGCTGCATCGATATCGTGGAGAGGAGTAAAGCACCCTTGACGCCTGGTCAGGTAAGGCAGATTCGTGGAATCGATGTGCATGAATGCGGCGGAGAGTAAGGAAGAGGAGGGGGGGGGGGGGATAGGTGTGTGTGTGGGAGGCTTAACCTTGGGGAAGCCCGAATCCGCTTGACTGCAGCGCATCTCTGCAGTCTCCAGACAGCGATAAATAAATCAAAATCAATCAAATCGAGTTTAAAAAACATAATATAATCATAATATAATGACCACAATAAAAAGATTAATAATAAGAAGAAATATAATCAATCGAATAATATCATCAACATGCACCGCCATTTAGCGCCGGATAAGTGTGATCAGGCCAAAAAACTAGGCAGAACGGCGTGATATTTGTCGTCCATGGAATAAATTGAGCAGGTAGATTCCCTGGATTGGCAGTTAGCCGTCATGATTGTGGCCTAACGGACCTATGCAAGTTCCGGAGAGCCTAGACAAGATTGGCACAACGCAGTGAAAGTACAGGGGGGGGAGATGGGCAGTGACCAGACCAGGGGGGTGGGGGGATGTAGTGGTGGTGGTGGTGGGGGGGGGGAGACAAGACTAGAGAGAAGAGGAGGGAGAAGAGGGGAGAGGATTGCGAGAATACAGGGGAATCCCCAAAAAGCCCGAGGAAAGACTCATTTGTCGACAGGAGAGTTGAAGCACTGCCTGTGTTAGTGACGGACTCCATTCTTGACCCGTCGACCACCATCTTTTCTCCTTACCCTATGGGATCGCCTGACGGTCCCGATCACCACCGGCTGGGCGAAACCACTGGCTGCACATTCCTTCCACCAGAACCAGATAGGTTTAGATCGGACCCGACAGTCTGGAAACTTACCTTGGCAAAACAGCAGTGCGTGTCGCCCGTGCTGAATGGCAAACACAGCCGCACAACCCGGGAAAATAAGGGGAGGAGGAGAAGAAGTGGAAGAAAGAAGCTGCAGGATGGAATATCCAGAGCCAGTGAGATACTGATGAAAGCCAACTGAGAGCAATACCTAAGGTAACTAACGAGGAAGTGATGCGAGTGTGGCCAAAGTACCTGGTACCTCCATCTTACCGTATGGTATCGTATGGAACATCTCCCCCAGCTTCAGGGGCTCCTGGGCTGGCCAATCTGCCTTGTTTTTTTTCCCTTTTTCCCTATCGGTTCCATCCTTCCCTGTCAGGTACGGGGAAGGGAATGTTACTTCGAGAAGGTCTCCATTGTAGCCTGGGTACGAGGTGCCTGGATGGGCTGAGGGGCAATAATCTTTGACCCTAGAATTGTCTGTGTTTTGGATTGATAATATGAACGGGTCTAATTTATTTGACTTTCTTTGTCCCGCATTATCTTCTGGTCGCTATTATTCTGGCGTGATTGTTCATTGTTAATGATGTCCAATATAGTCCTGGATATATGTATCTGCTACCCCGTCCGTACCAAAAATACCGGTTGACTGGATACACTGTATTTATCAAACAGTCAATATTGTATAGAAATAACTATATGAATCAACAACCATACAAAGGGAATGATAAAATGAAGGGAGAATAATAAATCACAAAGAATGGGAGATATGACAGGAGAAGTAGAAAAAGAAAAAAAAAAAAGACGGTCTCATACCGGTATGAACATCAACCACAAGTTCCTTGCTACTAATTCAACTAAATGACATAGTGCTGCACCTCGAACCATCTCCAGTTCCAGTTGGTCCGTGACCGGTTCCCACGCTAACCATTAGGCCCTGACGCCGTCCCTGTCCCGGTGCGTGCATTTAATCTCGCTCCACTACACGTTCCCCCTCTTGATTTCAGACAATTCCAAATTGCCTGCAAAGGTTGCCATCCAAATCATCATGGCTTCTGTGGGCATGGACAGCCTTACCCCACCAAAATAGGTGGCCTGCTGCCTTGTCCACCCTACCGTCCTCGTTGATGACAGGCCACCGTAGCGGCCACTCGCTCCACTTGGGTCCGCAATTGTTCCACTTCGTCGATCATATCCGCGATGTCAGCACGTCCTGGGTCTAGGCCGCGCGCTTCGGGATGCGGTCCCGGGCTAGTGTGAGCCTTAGGTTTGCCAGCGCCCAGCGGACGAACGTCGGTTGCGAGCCCAGAGGCCGCATGAGGGCGCTGCGTGGAGGGTGCCCGTCCGGTCCGCGTCGACGACGGCCGACTCAGACTGTTCCTGGGAGCCACACTCCTCAGGGGAAACTGACTCTGTCGCCGCCGCGGGAAGTGCCGGCGGCTAGATTCATAGGCCCAGATCAATGCAACAAACGGGAGATGCGTCGCCCGGAGCAAAATGATGCGGACTCGGCGGATGTGCCCTGCAGAGAGGAAAAGCCTCATGGGTCGGATACAAAGGAGGGGGATGAGATTCTGCGTCGTGGGCTCTGTTAGTAATCTGTCATCCTATCAAAATCCAGATGAAAACCCAGGTAAATCCATAGAACTGACAAAAGGCGGCAAAAAATGGGTGAGTCGGCGGGAATTGCTGCTTTCCAGCACATAGATTGAAAGTCTTATTTCCACACTGGTTAGCGCGTCCATACTGGTCTAATTGGGCAGGAGTCTAACTGGAAAAGATATTCTTCCCGTGCATGCGACATAACCTGGCCAAGGAAATTAGGAAGAAACTCCCAGTTAGCACCTTCTCTGACAAATCAAATAATGTTCGAATGGGATAATCTTTCCCGTTGGACATACCCCTTCCAAGCTCATACTCATGAGGGATACCAACGAAGAGATGAGGAGCAAGTTCGTCATGCACACGAACATCAACCTGTATGGCTTGATTAGTATTACCCTCTTTCTCTTTACTTTCCTTATGAAAATCAACAGAGAAAAAAAATGAAAAGGAAATTCATTTCCCAAAAGTCCAGGTCCATGCCAAGGACCACGACAGGGCTCTGTTGCATGCTGTGGCTTGTGCAAACCCCAACATGTCCATGACGATCAAGCATCATGCGCCATCCATGCTGCCCACGTCACTCCAAAAGGTAGTTTGCACACCCATCGGCGGTATCATAACCGCTTGCACAGGTAAAACGTGATTAAAGGCATATGCGACCGACTTTTCCACAGTCCCTGTGGCGCAGTCGTCGAGGGAAGACCGAAAGAGAGAAACTTACATCAAAACGTAGCCGAAGATCGGGGAAATCTAAGAATTAGCGCGTCAGTCAACTAAACGCGAGAGCCAACCAATTTTTCAAAAACCCTGGAAGTTGCCATTGCGACTGCATGACAGCCGCTTGGCGCACAGACTCACATCATGAGCGATGTCCTAATATCCAATCATTCCAGCCACCCGGTCAGTTTGAAGAACACTTTCCACAACAAGCAGGAGGAACGAACAAAGCCCAGCACATTCGATCTGCCTCGCAGCGTCAGTCAGAAAAAGCGAACGATTTCTAGAGGGGGGTTCACCGCCATACCCGAAGAAGACTTTCACCAGGATCCATGACATTTGCCGGAGGGAAAGTCGGTCACGGGCGAGCATCGTGAAGGTTGTCAGGAACCCTGCAGACGATTTAGCATCGGGCGTTCGCGCCCCCTCCCAGGTGGATCGGGACCACCCACCGATGTACAAGACCACTACCACAGGCATGAATCGGAAAAATGCTTTAGTCTGGTCCCATCATATCAGCCTTGCTCAACAGTGCCCCACTCGATCAGCCGGGTGTGCTACCATCTCCTTTAGAACTGGTATCTACGGGTCCATGCAGACTGTCAGTGGCTGTTCCCGCACATGGTGTCCTTCTACGCGATGTCGCTAGTTCTGACATACCAGACTCCCAAAGTACGAGTTCAAGCTCACAAGCGAGCATATCCTGTTCACCCGTGTTAGCCTCGTACAGCGCCGAATGAGGGCGAGTCTTGCCTAGGCACTAGAAACAGAGCCTCCAAGGAGAGTATATCAAACGATAGATCGGTGATGTAACCACTTTCTTTCGCTAACCCAACGATCCCTAGGTGCCGATCGAGTCAGAAAATCAAGTTGGATCGTAGCACCAGCTGTGTCACCCAACTGGGATTCAACGGGGCTCTGCAAGGCAGATTCTCAAGGGGCTAGTGACTCACTCGCCACAACGAAGGCCAGGCCTGTGCCCATGATTCCTAGATTCCAAAGCTTCCAGAAGTCCATCTGATAGAAGAGCATCCCCGCGTCTGCCATGTCACTCAGCTCGTCGTATGCAAAGGCAGCAATCCAGAAATACATCAGGGTTTCAAATATCCCAATGCCGGTTGACTTTCTCTCGACTAATACAGCATAGTATAGCAGCAGGAAAGAGACGAAAAAAGCGGCTTCGAAGGTTTTGCGGTATACTGGAACTCGCAGACGTGAGTAGAGATCCGATGTACTATATCAAACATCAGCAGGGGACGGTCCGTGAGTCCCGCGCGCGACGCTCTACCTTTTGTCGAAGAAATGCGGTCTCTTGGTCGAATGCACGTTCAGAGTATCCCAAAAGACAATTTCTCCCTTCCAGATTTTGTCCGTGACCCTCTGGACGACCTTTTGGCTCAGAAATTTCTTTGCTTGGGCGATAACTGCAATTTCGAGC